AAGCGTGTTCCGCTATTAAATGAGCTCATGGTTGATTTATGGTCTAATTCAGTATACCTGCCTTCTGCCTATATCCTTAATATATTTCTTTAACAGAAAATTATCTATATCAGATTTAAAATTAACAACTGATCTAGTATCAACTGCCATTCATAGAAAGAAGTTCCAAATATCTACCACTCTTTGAGTGTAGAAGTGCTGCCTAACATCTTTTCTGAATGATCTGGCCCTAATTTTTATACTACGCCCCTTGTTCTAGAATCTCCAACCAGTGGAAGGGAAGGGCATTCTATTGTGATGGTATGAATTTATCTTTAAGGAGTGTACCTTAAACCATTGTCATTCACTACCCTGATCAATAGGATATGTTGTGTTAGTCCCATGGTTTGTCACATAATCTGAAGCAGCACTGACAGAGGTCATGGGTGGAATCTTTCCCTGGAAGACATGTTTTTGGCAAAATATTTTTGGAAAATTATGTGACATGTCAAGTGAGGCTATTCTTGATGTTGGCAGCACAAGTCTCGTATTCCAACTTAGTTCCAAGGGTCAGGGTGACATTCTTGCTTGTGAGTCTGCAAAAATGATGATTATTCCTCATTATCACATTCACGATTAGTTAATCTCACCTCATTATTGTGCTCTCTCCTATTCTACCATTTGCCATATAGATAGAAGAGAATTCCCGACCTGAATGTCACAGTGACTATCCAGCTTAGGCCATTCTTACTCTGGATCTCCATCAGTACTAAAGTTTCAGGGCACTTTCCAGAGCTGCACCCTGGAAATGGCATCTGACATGTGTCATCCTCTCCATGCAATCATGACATGTCTTTGATCCCCTTACAGCACGTTTCTGCACTGTAATGCTTCACTTCAGGGCACATTGGCAACTGTCATTGTAATGCTGCTACAAGGACACACTGTGTGCAGGGACAAAGAGCCAACTGATAGACTGGACCACACTGTATCTCAGCCCTCTCTTAGCATTCACTTGCTTTGTGCCTAGCTAGATGCTCACTCTCTGGCTTATCTGCATTTTAGGGCTTCCCCTCCTCAAGTGCACTTTAAAGGCTCACAAAACATCAGTATTGCCTTGCAGTTTAATGCAGATTCAAAGCCAAGCAGCTTGTCATGCTTATCAGCAGTTGTCAATCAATTCAGTGAACATGTTACTGCAGAGCACAGTGCTACATCAATCTCACACTTACAGCAGCCTGCATGACAGACATACTGCATGTGCATCAACTAAATGGCCAAGTCTCAAAGTCAAAGAAGAGACTCGTCAGTTAATTCAAGGAGTGTAGCTGTCAGTCAAGGGGTCCCAGTGCAGTAAATCAGGGGCATTCTTCAATGTCAGTCCAGCAGACTGGACACAGTCAGAGGCCCACTTAGACCGTGTGGGTTGCAGTTCTGTCTTATGTCAGTCCAGGGAGTAGGCCACGGTCAGCCCTATAGGTGCAGTGCCACCATTCAGGGAACTAGTGGATGGTCTGTCACTCAGATATCTGTACATCATCAGGGATCTGGACAGTCATCATTCAGGACTATTGGTCCAAGTTAGTCAGAGGGATGGGCCTGTCAGTCAGTCCTGGCAGAGTCAACAGAATAAATGCCACAGGCAGGAATCAACACACGGTGTTGCAGTAGGGAGGGCAAGACAGTCAATGCTGGAGCAGTCTGGGTGACAGAGGGGACAAGGACGGGTGAAGGGGGTAATTTCAACACATAAGAGGGGGTTGGAAGCATATGGTACATGGGAGGACATGGAGATGCCACAGGAGGTTGATGGTAGATGGTCACTGCAACTGTGATCATGGTGGTCGTGGTCTATATCGCACAATGGTGGGTGTGATCAAACTATAGTGATGCAGGAGGTAAGGTTGAGAGGTGGAGGTTTGTTTGAGTTGGTGTGTGGGAATATGTGGGGGTTCATTAGAGATGGACTGTCCAGGGAGTGCTACACAGAAAAGGGTCAGTATGGGATACGGTTGGGGAAACTGACGACAAGGCCGAACCTGGTACACACGATGTCAAGCTCGACCTGTGTTGCCATCCATGATCTGTCAAACGCTAAGTGAAACCAATGAATCAAAAATGACTGTGAGCACACCCATTATAGACAGAGTGAGTACCTGTTGACCAATATGTCGGCTCTACTTCTGAGCAATGACAGGTTCGCTGAGTGGTGAGCGCATTAATCAAGTACTTGCAGTGCGCAGTTTGAAGCCACCTGTAATCGTCATCAGTGTGCATGTGAAATGCATGCAGTGTTGGGTGTAAATATTGAACACATGCAATGTTAACCTTGTCATTAGTTCTTGCAGATTGCAGCTAGACATTTCTGTGAAGCAGAAGTAATCACAAATGTCGTCATTGTCTTCAGGAATAGTGCCAGAAGACTGGAGACTAGCAAATGTTGTCCCCTTGTTCAAGAAGGGGAGTAGAGACAACCCTGGTAATTATAGACCAGTGAGCCTTACTTCGGTTGTGGGTAAAGTGTTGGAAAGGATTATAAGAGATAGGATTTATAATCATCGAGAAAGGAATAATTTGATTAGGGATAGTCAACACGGTTTTGTGAAGGGTAGGTCGTGCCTCACAAACCTTATTGAGTTCTTTGAGAAGGTGACCAAACAGGTGGATGAGGGTAAAGCGGTTGATGTGGTGTATTTGGATTTCAGTAAAGCATTTGATAAGGTTCCCCATGGTAGGCTATTGCAGAAAATACGGAGGCATGGGATTGAGGGTGATTTAGCGGTTTGGATCAGAAATTGGCTAGCTGTAAGAAGACAGAGGGTGGTGGTTGATGAGAAATGTTCATCCTGGAGTTCAGTTACTAGTGGTGTACCTCAAGGATCTGTTTTGGGGCCACTGCTGTTTGTCATTTTTATAAATGACCTGGATGAGGGCGTAGAAGGATGGGTTAGTAAATTTGCGGATGACACCAAAGTCGGTGGAGTTGTGGATAGTGCGGAAGGATGTTGTAGGTTACAGAGGGACATAGATAAGCTGCAGAGCTGGGCTGAGAGGTGGCAAATGGAGTTTAATGCGGAAAAGTGTGAGGTGATTCACTTTGGAAGGAGTAACAGGAATACAGAGTACTGGGCTAATGGTAAGATTCTTGGTAGTGTGGATGAGCAGAAAGATCTCGGTGTCCATGTGCATAGATCACTGAAAGTTGCCACCCAGGTTGATAGCATTGTTAAGAAGGCATACAGTATGTTAGGTTTTATTGGTAGAGGGGTTGAGTTTCGGAGCCATGAGGTCATGTTGCAGCTGTACAAAACTCTGGTGCGGCCGCACTTGGAGTATTGCGTACAGTTCTGGTCACCGCATTATAGGAAGGATGTGGAAGCATTGGAAAGGGTGCAGAGGAGATTTACCAAGATGTTGCCTGGTATGGAGGGAAGGTCTTATGAGGAAAGGCTGAGGGTTTTGAGGCTGTTTTCGTTAGAGAGAAGAAGGTTAAGAGGTGACTTGATAGAGACATACAAGATGATCAGAGGATTAGATAGGGTGGACAGTGGGAGCCTTTTTCCTCGGATGGTGATGGCTAGCACGAGGGGACATAGCTTTAAATTGAGGGGTGATAGATATAGGACAGATGTCAGAGGTAGGTTCTTTACTCAGAGAGTAGTAAGGGCGTGGAATGCCCTGCCTGCAAAAATAGTAGACTTGCCCACTTTAAGGGCATTTAAATGGTCATTGGATAAACATATGGATGATAATGGAATAGTTTAGGTTAGATGGGCTTCAGAATGGTTTCACAGGTCGGCGCAACATCGAGGGCCGAAGGGCCTGTACTGCGCTGTAATGTTCTATGTTCTATGTTCTATGTACAAATATCCTGAAAAGGCCACAAAACACAAAGTTAATACAAGACCTTATGGGCTGCAGAGGGGCACTGAGCTCATTTCCTCTTGACCTGAGCTGTGAGTAGAATACAAGATGCTCTTATAAGCAATGATACCTTTCATGGGTGGTGTGGGGCTGGGAGAAAAGTTCGATATTCATGTAGCACTCACTCTCCTACTATCTCTGTGCCAAATGACCTATGGAGTATTCATTAGAATAAGGTCCAATGGTCGAGTGTGACGATGTGTCATTCCACGGCCCTGTTTGTTGGAGTTCCCCATGTCCCAGTACGTTGGTGGGAATGTTAAGCTGACATTTGTATATGGTGTGAATCTTGACTGCTCATGGCACTAAAGGACCTGTTCTGTTTCTTCTCTCCTCACAGACTCATTGCCATCATGACATACAAATCCAGTCAGAGCAGAGTTTATTGTCAGTGTTGTTGTGACACAACAAGAGGCAGAGAAAAGGAAGAGATGCGCCAGCCAGCCCAGGACCAGCAGCAACTTTCAGTGTCGGAGTACAAATATAACATTATTCAACCAGTCCCATGGCGGACCAGAGGATAGACTTGCTGGAGATGGTGTTCTTTTGCTTGAACCGGTCTGGTGGAGCCAGGCAGTATACTCCAGGCAGAATGTGGTACATATTCTTAACGTGCTGTGCTCTGCACAACTGGAGAAGGCAACAAGAGGATCTGATGGATGCTAACAAGCTGAGAGAATAGGAGCAGTCTTCTGATGAGGCAGCAAGCTGTGTTCCCTCATACTTAAACAGCAATAGGTGTAAAAATTTGTGGTTGTTTGAGCAAGCAAGTGTCAGCTGTGCTACCTCTCTACTGTGACAACTATTGTCTGCTTTGCCAAAATGTTCAATACATTGTAAGCAGCAAATTCAATAGACTAAATTGTGGAAAATGCAGGTGAAGGCTCAGTCTTTTTGCCCCCAGTCTAGCGAAGCTCAGTGCAAGCTGGAAGAACATTTCTCTTTCCGCTTGGGGACCCTGCAGCCCTCTAGACTCAATATTGAGTTCAATAATTTTAGGGCCTGAACTCATCCATGTCCTAGCCCCCTACCCCACACACCAGGCCTTGTTGTCACATAGCCTGCTATTACACACTACATATTGTTAGTCACTAACAGTCCCCATTAACTGCTATTCACCCTCTTATCCAGATCGTTATCCACTCCTTTGTCTGTCCGACTGTTCTTCTCTCTCTTTGGGCTCTATTTCCACCTATGTTTACTCCTTATGCTGCCAAATGCTGCCAGACCTGCTGAGTTAATGAGGTGTGGTTGGAATGACAACTTGAGAAAACTCACAGGTCTCACAGAGAGAAACCCTCCATAAAATTCAACGATAATGACAATTTGCCACACTATGATAAAGTTCAGTTCCTTTTGTACTATATTCAACTGCCAGTGAACATTCATCATATATCTTATCTTCAAATAAGGGAGAATAATGAGATAAGACCATAAGATACAGGAGTAAAATTAGGCCATTCGGTCCATCAAGTCTGCTCTGCCATTTGATATTTTTGATATGCTTCTCAATTCTATTCTCCTGCCCTCTCACTGTAACCTTTGATCCCTTTACCTAATTGTTGTGAGTAATTCACCAAAAGTTACCTTTAATTCAGCTACTTATTAAGAAATCTCAAAGACAATCAAATACTGAAACAATGATTTAAACTTTACTGCATGTAGCAATCCAAATAAGATCCCGCAGTAAGCAAGTTAAGCCTAGCAACCGAACTTGGCTATTATCTAATTAAGGGTGGAACTTGGATAGATTATGCCAACAGTGTCTGTCTCTGGAAGTGCCCAGGATTTGATTTTTGTATAGTGTTGTTCTTCAAAGTTCTGCTACTGACTTGTTCTGCTGTTGGATTCTTATACAATTTTCTGTCTTTCAAGTTTGTAGTTTGACATTATTGATGATTCAATAGATTATAAACTTCAGAACTTTAATAACTGTTCATAGATCAAATGAATCAACAAAAGATAAACTGCTACACATGAAAAGAAGCGAGCAATAAGTCTGTCTGGAATAAACTTTTAAAGGTCAAGGACAAACCTCTACAGGAATTGAAAGCCATTAGCCATGTCTTGGAAAGGAACAAGTCGACATTACAGAGACAAAACTGCTTTGACATTGTTTGATAAACTGGATACTTTACTGTCACAAAGGACAAGGATTGCCCTGCAGAAGGATTTAAAGAATTAATCACATGAAAGCTGTGACTTCAAACAGGCAGTCAATGCCAAATCTGTCAAGGAACAAAGAAGCTACTTCTGATAAGAAGGCAAGATAGCAGATTTAGACTATAGTAATTTGGATGAAAGGACTTTAAGGAATCATCAATACATCACCTCACAGATCCAAAGACAAAAATCTGTATAAGAATCGAACAAGGTAACTCCACCTTCAGGAGAATTTCAAAGAATGACATTATATCCTTTCAGGCTGATTCGAGATTGGTCCTTTACCTTGGCACCAGGCAACACAACATGTGGACTCTCAATCCTGCTCACAAAGGACGCTATCTGTTCCCTAATTATAGAATCTCCCACCTCTATTACTTGTCTTTGTAATCCCCCAACTTGAATGGCTTCCTGCAACACAGTGCAGTGATCGGTTTGACCATCCTCTCAGCAGACACTTTCTTCATCCATTCAGAGAGCAAGTACCTCATACCTGCTGGGTAAGGTCAAGAGCTGAAGCTCCTCCAATACTCCTCCTCTACCTATTTCATTTGTTGTCACACCTTCCTGTCCTTGACCAGTGGGCAATTTAAGATATTTAAATGACTGTGTGATAGCATGGAACATAGCATCAAGGTACTTTCCTCCTCCCTAAGCTCAGATTCCAGTTCATCAAATTTGAGGCGAGGTTCCTCAAGCTGCATACACACTGCAGATGTGCTCATTATTACTAGCAATGATATCTACCAGCTCCCACATCATGCAAGAATAACATATCATCTGTACTGCCATTTCTAATATAGTTATTTAGGTTTTATTTATTGTTAAAAAAATGATTCTTGGATAGTCATTATACTGTTTTCTGAATCTGCTACTATTTAAGTCCCTGATGTGGGTCTCTTACCACCCAATCAGACCAGAGTTTTTCCTCTGACATCACTTTTGCTGTGGTACTACCCCTCCCGCATTCAGAGAATCTAGACACGTTCACCGCTCCATCCCACACTGCTTCACCGTGACACAGACTGCGAGGACACCCTTCCCAGAATGCTTCACCGTGACACAGACTGCGAGGACACCCTTCCCAGACAACTTCACCGTGACACTGACTGCGAAGACACCCTTCCCAGACATTGAGCAAAATGACTTACTTTTAGCAATGATACAGCACTATATTAACAGGCACAATAAAGCCAGGCAGGCTTACATTGCCAGTAAATTTGTTCTTGTTTGAAATGCATTTGATCAGTTTCTTCCTGGATGCAAATCTTGTTTGTTTTTCTTAACTTTTAGTGAACAACAGGAAAGGCAAACAATAGCAGCTGTCTGGAGCCGACATATGCTGCGCCCACAGTGTACAACAACAAGATGTGATGCTACGCTAGGTGTTAAAGAAAGAGTCGCACTCCACAGACGTTTCTAATGTGGTATGGAGCTAAGGCTGCCTGTATCTTCAACAAGCATGGTACAATGCTTAATGGAACTCAACAAAATTTAAAGGGCATAAGATTCTATTTAAAATCAATTTTAAGGAATTTTAAAAATGAAGGAACATGGTGATGATGCTTTTAAAGTTAAAATCCAAAAATAATGCTACATATCAAAACAAACAGGACAATATGATTCAAAACAAAACAGCATTGCTAAACTCACAAAAAATAAGGCCCCAAAGCATGACCATATGTACTCCAAGCCATTGGCAAGCAAATTCTGCAGCTACAGGTTCAGTGCACTGACTTTGATGACTGACTTCTCAATATAATGTTCAGACATTGTTAGCTTTAGTTGATTCATAGATTGTCTCGAGAGTAATGGTGCCATACATAAAGAAAGCACAACCTCAAGTTGCATTTAAGATAACAAGGTGTAGAGCTGGATGAACACAGCAGGCCAAGCAGCATCATAGGAGCAGGAAGGCTGACGTTTCGGTCTCAAGTTGCATTTACCTGCTATCAAAATGGATCATCCTTCTGGTGGGTCAGTGTAGTGATTGGAACCAGGTTATCTCATTGACTATGAAATCCTTGGTTGGGGTTGTTAACCTGGGATAATCAGGGAGCCCTGGCTGACAGTTATAGGCCAGAGATTCAGAAGATCTCCTCAGTCTAGGGACTGGCTTTGAGCTGGCTGATCAGAGCCAATGTACTGTGCACATGTAAATAAAGGGTGACTTGGTAACAGGATACCAGCCTCTGTGCAGTTACAAAGCAAAAAGACCTAGCAGACTCCATCCTCAATCATTCATCTACACAAAACTGGTCAATCTCATCTGGAATGGCAGTAGGGGTGCAGATTTCACCCTCGTTACCCTTTGACAGCAGAAGGGAAAATAGTCTGCAAGCATTTTGTTGCTGACTATTACACTTTTAGCACTTTACATATGGGAATAAAACAGAATCAAGTTTGGAAATAAATTACTTACTGATAACCCTTTCCTGAAATAGCCTGTACATTGTGAAGAGTGGGCCCAAGACAAGGCCCTGCCCTGTAAATTTAGAATTTTATTTTAAAATGGTACCTTACAATATATTTTGGAGTGCTTTTATTGCTTTATGACTGATAGTTTTTTTATTTTAAAAAAACAAACCTGGACAAAAGAAAACCTTATCCACGATCTAGTGTTGAAACAGATCACACTGACCATCACTTCCAAAGTATATTCACCCCATCAAGCTTCCTTGATATAATTTGCTCCAACAGTTCTGTCAGCTATCAGAACTTGGCCAGAAAAAAACACTGCAGGTGCTGGAAATCAGAAGCAAAAACAAAAATTGCTGGAAAATCTCAGCACATCTGGCAGCAACTGTGTAGAGAAAGCAGAGCTAATGTTTCAGATGCGGTGACTCTTCTTCAGAATTCAGTTCCATCAATTTCTGTTTTTCAATCAGAACTTGGACTATAGCTTTAAGGCTAGCATTCATGATGATATTTCTGCTCAATTGCACCCTCACATCACTTTTGGTGCCTTAGAATTCATTTGGACAACTATTCTTCTCACTCTGGTTGTTTTCTATGATACAGCCCTCATCGCTGCATCATTAGACCCAATACGCAGAAAACTGAATGCTTATGATAAATAACGGGTTTAGCCATTAATCACCAGAGTTGGCAGGACCACATAAAGCAATATCCCGCCCTCCTCTGCCATAACAACACACTATTTGAGGGTCAACCAGTTTCTTAAACTGCTCCTTCCTGTTTTCTCCACCTTCACCTCTAACAACAAAGGAAGTCATAAGAAATAGGAGTAGGAATAGGGCCACTCAGGCATTGAACTGCCCCCGCCATTCAATAAGGTCATGACCAATATGATTATGACCTTAACTCCACTTTCTTGCCTATCTTCTGGCATCCCATGTCAATGGATATAGCTCCCTGGCAGAAACATTGATTAACACATTTGGAGATCTATTTTTAAAGGTGAGAAGAATAATTTATGCTTCTAAGATACTTTTAATATTTTATTTCTAGAAGTTACATTTTTCAAATTCTTATTTTGGAAAGTAGAAGCGCCTGGTTACTGTTGAAGTTGTAACTTCCTTTTACAGTTTTACCTTTCATACGTTTATTCTCACTTCTGTCTGCAAAATTTTGGATTTTAATGCATCATTTGAAAGGGTTAGTTGACATTTTGTTAAATAAATAAAAAGCTGTGAAGTAAGCAGAGCTTCTGAGGCAAATCAATTACACGCTGCCTTTGTATCCTCAGATCTGAGGTTTGCACTTTTGCTGGGCAATCTGAATGTCCGATCAGTTCAGAGTTTTGAAGCAGCAGTGTTTACATGAGGAGCAGATGCTGGAAATCTAAAGCTAAATTGGATAATTATAGAAATGGTCAGGGATTCAGGAACAGAATTAGAGGAGTGAAGTGAAAAGTTAATATTTCAGGCATAACCCTTTGGTCGAATTAAAATGTATTATAGATGAACAACTTAGAATGGAGCAAAGCAAAATGGAAAGGAAAAATTACATAGCCATGAATAGAAATTGTGGCTGTGAAGTTGTAAGCTTGAGATGAGGGGATGGTTAATTGAGAAAAGCGATTTAACATAGGTGACCCTCCAAGTCACTCACCATCCTGACTTGGAAATATATCACCGTTCCTTCACTGTCGCTGGGTCAAAATCCTGGAATTCCCTCCCTAATAGCATTGTGGGTTAACCCACAGCAGGAGGAATGCAGGGGTTCAAGAAGGCAGCTCACCACCACCTTCTCAAGGGCAACTAGGGATGGGCAAGAAATGCTGGCCAGCCAGCGACGCCCACATTCCACAAAATGAATTTTGAAAATGATGAGAGAATTCATATATCTCATAAACCGATGAAAACAACCCAGTAAAATGAACCAAGCTCCAGTGGCCCAAGTATGTAATACAATAAAAGGCAGTAGTAGTTCACCAAAGGGGAAGACCTATTTCCTACCCTAATAGACATTAGGCATTAGACAATCCTGGAAGCACCTAGTGCCAGAGAGTAAATGGGGGCTTTAAGTACAAGTTAAAACTTCTCAAGTTATTGAAGTCGATATTAAAGGCACCTAATCACAAAGTACTCAGTAGAAAGGTGAGGTATGAAACTTTATGAGAACATTTAGGAGGTGGAGGATAAATAGATATGAATGGTAGTGGGACAGAGAATTAAAAAGTGGAAAGTGACAAAGGTCAGGCTTGCACTCACAGATAATATTGAAGTGTTCAACTCAACAATCATCTGATGTATATTATATACCCTGAATGTAAAAGATCCCACAGCAATGACAGTGGGTATATTCTTCCAGTCCCAGAGGAAGCAGGCTAGTCAATGGGAAGACAACTCCATTCGGAGGGATAGTAGTGTCCCAGACCCCAGCACCTCCCTATCTCTGCACCAATCAAGTTCAGGGCAGGAATAACTGATCTTGATCTTTCCATCCTGCTATCCGTTGATGCCTCATTCAATTAATTAAATCCACTCCTGGCAGGACAAGAAAGAGTTAGCAACCATGACTGGCAAATCAATGGAAGGAGGTTGTTAGTTGGTGAGAGGCAGGTTGCTTGCTCTGCATGATTTGTACATAATCAAGGCACTAGAGATAGGGCAGGTAGGAGGCATTTATTGAGAATCACCGTTCTATTTTTGCTTCTGAAGCCCCTACCCAATCTCCACACATGTCAATCCCTAGAAAACCCCTCCTCCTACCAAAAGGCTCTGACCTGTGACCCTGATCCTCAGGATATTGGGTGTTCAACTAATAGCAGCCATGGCCTTCATGATGGTGCTGCTGAGTGCCAGAAATTGACTTCTGATTGGTTGTAGCTCTCATTGAGTGGGACTTCTACTTCCAGTGACTTAGATTCAGAGAAAGGCCCATTGCTGCCCTTTAAACTGCCTGGTTGGAGGAAGGTGTAGTGCACGTGGCTCAAAAGGGTCAGATGATGTGTCTTGCTGCCTCTTCAGCAAATGACAGACTCCCAACAAAAGTTGGAGATCCCAGCCAGAATAACTAAAGTTTAGTTTGTCCTCCTCCAAATGAGTATACTGGGTAACAGCATTTCCTCAGACGGAGGAGGAGAAGCTGGTCATACTTAGTAAAATTATTTCCGTACTTTAATGAAAAGGTGAAAAATATTACATAAAGAGAGGATAAACAAATACATTGGTGTGGTCAGTCTGGAAGATCTACTCACTGAAAGACAAGGGAGCTATCATGTGCCAACATATGAAAATTGGAGAAGTCACTGATAGGGATTAGATGTAACACACCATGATGCAGACAGGACAATGATTGAGACGAACGCAACTCAACATATAAGGATGGGAGATGACTGTGCATTGGAGGGTATAATTCCTGTGGAAGGGTAGGTTAATGACAATCACCACCTCTCTGGCTTTGAGGGAGAGGGGTGAAAACGCATCACCATGGTTGTCATGGCAAAGCTGTAGAGCAGGGGTTCAGATGTTGGAGGTTGAAGAAGATTAGTTAAAAGAATTAGATGGGAACTTACGTAAGTTGAGAACTAGTGCAGTCAATAGATAGTGCAAGGAAGAAAGGAGCATGAAAATTTGGAGGGAACTTGCAATACACCCCAGGTTAATCCTAACATGCAGAACTGGAGCAGGGACAGAGGGGATATGATGGATTCTGAAGAGCTGGGAGAGCAGCAGCAATGCCCCTGAACAGGTAAGTGAAGAATTAAGCAGGAGGAACATCACCTACAGAATGATACCGGGCTGCAGCATCAGATGCAGCAAGTCAGATGGGACTTAACTGACTGCCAGTACTGCTAGATGAGGCCTGGGTGCAGTGAACATTCATTGAGTGTAACTTTGTTGTTGATTGAAATGCAAGTGGTCCCTGCTTATTCCCTGAAGTAAATGCAGTGTGTTTTGTTTGTTTTTCTTTGCTTTTGTTGTCATTCAATAAACATTATTGTTTGTAATTATTGAAGATTTTCCAGTATGCACTGATACTACATTGAAAACTGAGATGATGTTATGTTATACAAGGTGTCAGGGGATGTGTACCATTCCCCTAACACCAGGGCATTATCCCCTAACACCCAGGGCATTATAGGGAACACAGTGACCCAGTGGTTAGCACTACTGCCTCACAGTGCCAGGGACCCAGGTTCGAATGCAGCCTTGGGTGACTGTGAGTGGAGTTTGTACATTCTCCCTGTGTCTGCATGGGTATCTTCCAGAAGCTTTGTTTCCTCCCACAGTCCAAAGATGTGCAGTTTAGGTGGTTTGGACATGTTAAATTGCCCAGAGTGGCCAGGGATGTGCAGTTTAGGTGGATTGGCCATGGGAAATGCAGGGTTACAGGGAAAGGGTTGGGGAGTGGGTCTGGGAGGGATCCTCTTTGGAGGGTCAGTGTGGACCCAATGGGCCAAATGATCTGTATCCACACTGTAGGGATTCTATGATTCTACCATTCCCTTAGACAGGACAATGACATGGTTTGACTTTCTGGTTAATTAGCATGAGTAGTCAGTTCTTGAAATAGCAGTTACAATGACAGTCCATCAGACAGGTGATGATGTAAAGAGGTAATACAATATATTTCCAATGAGGTTTCACTCATGCCACTGATATGTTTTTTCATTTCCCCCCTGCAGAGCGTACTGCGAAGGATGATTTGTGGCTGCCGATGAAAACCCTGGTTCACAGCCTGGCTTTAAATATAGCACATGCAGCAGGAATCCTGAAAGTTCTCTGCAACAATGGGTACCTCTATTGCTGGTGAGCATGAGGGCGGTGCCATAGAGATATGGCATGTGCATAATGAGGTGAGCAGCTTATATATGCGTCGGAAATCCTTCTGGTGCTCACAGAGATAAACCTTCTATGAAACTTCCCAAAATTTACACTTAGCCAATTTTTTGTAAAATTCAGCCCTATAAATATGGTGAAAGGGAGATGATGTAGCATTGGGCCTGGAATTTGTTGTACTGGCTATATTGACACTGCGCAAATTTGAGTGTTGTGCTTTCTGTATTCCCGACGGTGATTACAGTGATTAATTTGCTAGATTTTTAAAAATTTCTTGGAGATGTCACTGGCTAGGTCAGCATGTATTGCCCATCCCTAATTGTCCAGAGGCTACATAAGGATCTGGATTACATATGAACCAGATCTGGTAAGTCTGGCAGATTTCCTTCCCTAAACGGCATTACTGAATAAGACAGATGTTTATTACAATTGACATTAGTTACATAGTCATAGTAAGGTATATTTTTAATTCCAGATTTGAATTGCACTTAAGATTTCACCATCTGCCACATCAGGATTTGAACTTGTGTCCCTAGAGTATTAGCCTGGGCTTTTTGTATTATCAGCTCAGTGACATTACCACGATGTCACAACTTCCTGCAATTAGAAGCTACTGTAGCAAACTGAGCAGTGGATCAGGAGTAATGCAGAAATGGTTAAAGTAGAATCTCTGCCATGTATCCAACACAGGCCCAGAAATAGTTAAAACAGTTATTTGAAGATGGAACCGATGGTCATAGCAAACTGATTTGTTTCAGGGTCTGTTTGTATATCTGTCTCTTTTAGATGGCGTGTTGACCTATCCTCACCCTTGTCCCCTGTTCCTCTTGCCAGTTCTTCAAACAATATATAGAAATCACAGCCTTTTAGTCTTCCATTGCTCAAGCAGTCTCTAATATTCTAGTGGTGTATCTGATTTAGTGTTTAGATGTTAATAAGATGTAAATGAACGGTTTATAATCACAAATGAACACATTCACAAACGTGGGTTAACGATTCAAAAGACTAACAAATTACATTCAGATGGTACTTTAAAATTATGATCAGCGGTCCATTCCTGCCAGATATGTGTAGTTTCTAATACTCTGTACTTCACATCAGTGAGCACTGACAGTAGCAGAATGGCCCTACTGAATTAAAAAGAGGAACCAAATGAGGGCAGTAAAATTATGTTTTAATTTAAATCATAAATTATTATTTCTGTAATTATGCTAAATGCGCTGAGCCCAGCAGCCCCATTTCACATTGATTTTAATAGCTGAGGCAATCACAGTGGTGTTGAATTAATCCATTTGATTTTACCATTGATTTTAATAGGGAAAAAATATGATAATGAGCTGTTCAATCAAGGGTTTCTGTGGCAGTAGGTGGGAGTCTTAGCAAATTGTGGCATGTCTATAGGTGGTATAAATCACAGACCATAATTTTCTAGAATTCCTGCGACATGTAGATGTGCAATTAGTATAGTGCAATTTTTCAACAAATTCAGGCCTCATTGGAAAACAAAATTTGAATACAGACACCAGAAGGAAAACTGGTGTTCTAAGTGTTCTAAGCTGTGTTGGAGAGGGTATGTGGAACAGTATAGTTATTGTATGTTCTTGATGTTCCTTAGATATTAACTTATACAGTGTAGTCAACTTTGTCATCCATGTATGTCGTATTTAGCATGTGACTATGCTGTGCAAAATCTAATCATAATAGCATAGCTTGAAGTTATAACAGTAGGACAACTTTGTGATCAGAAATTAATATTGTGGGAATGAAATTCATCCAGTCCCACAAAACTGACTGTTAGCAAATCAACAACAACAAAATAAAAGCTGTGAGAAACTGTTCTGCTGATTCACTACTCTTCCATTTTGCATGGCTGCGAGTGACCAACTTCACCATCTGGAAAGTTCCGAGGCAGGGGAAGCAGGTCTGGCTGCTGCTGAAACATCGGGTTGAGATGGAAGCACGAGTGCAGCTGCTGAGTAAGTAATTTAAATATTCAAAAAGATAATTAAGAACAGTTTTAATTCTCAGTTTTGGCTTTAACAGCCAGAGTCCCTGTTTCCCAAACTGTCAGCAACCCGACAGCATCACTAAGGCAAATGGTTACAGGGAAGGATTCTCCCGTGGTACTGACAAGACAGGACAACTTAAACTCTTTACACTGAGAGCTCCAGCCATAGCCGAGTGAGAGGCTGCAGTTCAAACTCCCAGACTGTGCTTTCACTGCTAACAGATCAATGCCAACTTGTTCATGTGGCCAGCAGTTCACCCTCAGCTGCATTTCCCTGCTGTTAGACTTTACCCTGACAAGGACATACATACCAACAGATTCAAGAACAGCATCTTCCCTGCTTTTATCAGACTTATGAACGGATCTCTCATATATCAGTGTTGATCTTTCTCTGCACCTTCTCTGTAGCTGTAAGAATATATTCTGCACTCTGTTCTATTACCTTGTCATACTTATGTAAGGTATCATTTGTCTGGATAGCACACAAAAGCATTCTTTTCACTGTATCTCAGGACATGTGACAATAATAAATCAAATCAAATCAAATAGTTTATGCAGTCCATCTTCTACTTCTGAGATACACGGGGAGAAGCTACACCACCAGCAGCAACAGGGGATACATGGCACTTGCTGCTTTCATCTGGGCCACATGCCCTGCCACAGGGCAGGGAGGATAAACACTGAGGTCCACATGGAAAGGTGCTAGAAATCCTTATAACAGCGTTTATGGATAGAGAATTGACTCTACCACCGTATCCTCCCAACCCCACACCCACGGTTCAATCACCTGGTTCTGTGCCTCCCTTTTGAATGCTGCACTCTCTTGTCACACAAGGTGAGAAGCCAGAGATCTCTGAATGTGAGAAATAGATCATGGAGAGAGGAAAACAGCATTATTTTTATGGATGGTGACTTGAAGCATGGTTATTAGATGTAACAGAGATGAGAGTGAGTGAGAGTGTTATCCATTTAGATGGAGAGCTGAGGAGGTTCCAGTGGAGAGATGAATGCATGAAGCTGCAAGGTGTGTTGTCCTCAAGAATGCTATGCAGGTGGTTGTTGGGAAAGTCAGAGCATGGGGCTTGGCATTGTAAAGGGTCACACCATTCAACTGTCATGCCCCTTGAGGCCCTGGATCTTTTTGATGCACTGTCTCTAGCTGCTGACATCTTTCAAGGACTTCCATGCATGCCTATCTGATTAAAGAGATTATCATCCTCCTCTCATTCCCTGCAGAACTTTGGATCTTGCAGAATGAGCTCCCAGGTAAGAGTTAAAAACCTGGGAAACAGTCTTCTCTATTCTGAGTAGTCAGTCATTGTAACCCATATCCTGGTCCCTTTGATTAGAAATCCTTCTTCAGACTGAATCAATGCATCATTTCCCCTTTCCTCACTGACTAGTCAGGCAACCTGGATAATGGATATCAATGGCATGGCTTCTATTAAGCGCTTCAACAAAGCTATCTCCTTCCATTTCCCAACCAGGAGGTTGATTGGGGAAAAACAAGCTGTGTCTTTCACAGCTGCTGTTAAATCAGTTTTGCAAGGTCTTCAGGAACCTGGTGCAACATTGTGATGATGTCACAGAGCTGTACATTACTGAGCATCAAAAAAGCACAAAGTTGGCAGAGGTGAACGCTGTGGAAGAATAAACTACATGACATGAGACTGCAATATACAATACTACACAAGCCTGGAAAGATTGAGAATGCACATGGATACGAATACATTCAATCTTCCACTTATCCATTCATTCACTCAGTGAAACATTAGATTTTTAACTTACCATACTGCGACTAGTGCTAGAGAAATAAAGTATGTGCTGTCTTTCTATGCTGCACTCTGCTCATACAGAGTTCTCCAAATCATGCTGCGCTAAACATTTCTTTGACAGCTGAGATCAGAAGAAATACCCAGCAGCATTGAGTTGGGAGAATCGTTGAGCACAGCATCAATTTGCTTATTGTTGCTGTTGCTCAGGATTATGCCTGAGGTGCTCTGTTTTAGACAGCAACTTCATCTGCAGAGTATCAGATGCATTTGAATCTCGCCTTGACTCAACAATACAATCTTCTTTGCGAACAACAAAATTAACAGCAGTATATCACACTATGTAGTAGTGATTTGCCAATCAGAAGCAAGGTGAGTTTAGGTGTTAAAGTAAATACATCAATAAAACTCGTGTATAGGTACAAAATATGGATGTAAACCTTTATCTCAATTTAAATGTAAGTGAGAAAGTGATGCTTCATTTGTTATTTTCAAATAAAGTTTTGGGCACCATACCTCAGTTACTAGCTCTAGGATCAGGATGAGTGTGAAGTCTCCAGGATCATACCCAACTAAAACATTAAATTATGAAGAAAAGTTGAGTAAATACATTTTTTTTATTCCCTCGAGCTTGTAAAGTTGAGACATTACTGAATATGTTTAAAATTATAAAGAGATTCAAGCGTAGGCAGAAAAGAAATATTTCTTAGGTGATCTTGGAATCCAGATGAAGTGCTTTATATAAAGGAGGACACAATACGAATGCAAGAAAAGTTTGAGGAACCTTTCTAAAATTCTGAACTATTTTGTCTGGTTCTGGGCACTACACTTTAGGAAAGATGTAAAGGCTTCAGAGAAATTGCATAAAATAAATTATGGGAGCACTTCCTGAAAAGAAAGATGTTAGTTAGTTCCATAGATAGATGGGAGCAGCTGGAATCATTCTGTTGACCCCTGTTGTGGGTGAATCCATTAGTACGGTTCCAATGAACCCATGTGGGCAGTATCAGAAAGAGACCAGGTTATTTCTAATGTAAAGTATCAGCATTTGCATCACACAGAAATGACAATTTACCATTTTCCTTCATTCATTGGAGGGCTCTGAGAATGAGGGCCATGGAATGCCTTTGTGTGAAGCTTTGACGTAAAGGTCTTTATGTCAATGTAAGCATCACAAGCAGTGTCAAGCAAAAACATTAGGAAATTGTAAGTGCCATATGATTAATGACACCCTGTCCACCCAACGTCCACGTCACCCAAGAAAGGCAGCACTGCATATAAGAGCACATTGGCAAATACTTACAGTTTAAGGTGAGAGATAATCAGCTCCATGCCATTGTGCGGCTGATGAAATTTGAGTTTTTGTCATGGATTGTGGTCTACAGCTGACACTTTCAAGGTCACCTGTGGTTAGTCTGAGCAGCAACAGAGTGAAGGAAATGCGAACCTGGAGATAAACAACCGCAACAGGTTAAATACCTGACGAGCAGGGTCAGGCAAAGTGAACCTGAGAGTGAATCTAGTGTCAGAGAAAACATCACAACTCAAACAGTGACCTATGCTTAGCTACTCAGGATCCAGATTTGCAGATTGAGTGAGTAGTGTCTGGAGAGACAAAGTGCTTATTTTTTGTTTTTATAGTCTGCTAGGGTTGGAGAGTGGCAGTGAGAGACCTGAGTTTGGTGATGAGTGGGTCAGGTTGTGTAATCGGCTCCTGGATTCATTTGTGGATTATTGCCTGTAGTTGATAAGGTTGATTTAGTCGATAAGGTTGACAATGGCAGGAGAACCCAGCCCCAGTGGACTGCTCCACCTGCAAAATGTAGGAAATCAGGGAGGCTTCCAGTCTCCATGTTGACTACATATTGCAGGAACTGTGTTCAGCTGCAGCTCCTGATTTGCCGCATGGAGCATCTGGCATTGTGGGTCGATTCACTATGTAGCATCCATGAGGCTGAGAACGTCATGGATAGCACATTTAGTGATCTGGTCACACCACCAGCAAGGGCTACACAGACGGAGAAGAGTTGAGTGACCACCAGAAAGAAGAGTAAGTGTGGACAGGCACTGTAGGAGTCCCCTCTGGCCATTCCCCTCTCAAACAGGAATACCGTTTTGGATACTGTTGTGGGGATGGTGGCCTCTCAGAGGAAATCAGCAGCAGCAGGCCAGATCAGTGGCAACACTACTGGCGCTGTTGAATGGCAGGGAGGGTCAAAGTGTAAGTGAGCAGTAATGATTGGGGACTCTGTAGTCAGTGGTACAGATAGGCATTTTTGAGGCCACAGTGAGACTCCAGGATGGTGTGTTGCAGGGTCAAGGGGGAGGGGCTAAGCAGCCAGAGATCATAGTCCATATTGGTACCAACGACACAGGTAGAGAGAGAGATCAGGTGCTGGAAAGGGAGTTAGGTAGGAAGTTGAAAAGAAAAACCTCTGTGACTGTAATCTTTGGATTCCTCCCTGTGCCACGTGCCAATGAGGCTAGGAATAGGAAGATAGTACAGTTAAATACATGGCTAAAGAGGTGGTGTCAGAGGGAGGGCTTCAGCTATGTGGATCATTGGGATCTCATCCGGGGCAGGTGGGTCTTGTAAAAGAAGGACAGAGTGCACCTGAACTGGAAAGACACCAACATCCTGGTATGGAGGTGTGCTAGTGCCACTTAGGAGGCTTTAAAATTGTGTGGCTGGGGGTGGGAACCAAAAAAATAGTTCAGCAAATAAAATAACTGAGGAGTCAGAGACTAAGGCCAATAAGACTAAAAGGAAGAACAGACAGGGAAAGGTTACAGAACATGGCAGGACTGGAGGTCTGAGGTGTAATTGTTTTAATGAGAGGAGTATGACAGGTAAGGCAGATGAACTTAGAGCTTGTAGCTATTACAGAGACTTGGTTGAGAGAGAGGGACAAGACTGACAGCTTAACTTTCTAGAATTTAAATGTTTCTGGTGAGCTAGAGAGGGATGTAAAAGAGGTGGGGGAGTTGCATTACCGATTAGGAAGAATATCACGGCTGTACTGAGGGAGGACACCTTGGAGGGCTCATCCAACAAGGCATTATGGGTGGACCTCAGGAATAGAAAGGGTGCAATCACTTTCAGGTTATACTAAAGGCCTCCCATCAGTCACAGGTGATAGAGGAACAGACACGTGGACAGATGATGGAAAGATGTGAAATCAACTGGTTTGTTGTGGTGGATGATTTTAACGTCCCATATATTGATGGGGACTCCCATAGTGCCAGAGTCTTGAATGGGGGAAAATTTGTTAGGTCTGTCCAGGACGTTTTTTTAAAACAATATGTAAATGGTCCAGTTAGAAAAGGAGCCATACTAAACCTGAAATTGGGCAATGAGTCCGGCCAGCTGATCGAAGTTTCAGTGGGAGAGTATTTCAGGAACAGTGACTGTAACTCTGCAAGTCTGAAGTTATTTGTGGATAGGATAAGAGTAGTCCTTGGCTGAAAGTACTAAACTGGGGAAGGTTAACGACCACAATATTAGGCAAGAACTGAGGAATTTTGATTGGGGTGGGGGTTGGTGGGGAGCTGTCTGACGGTAAATCCACATCTGGCATGTGGGAATCTTTTAAAGGCCAGTTCATTAGAGTCCTGTACCAGCATGTTCCTGTGAAAATGAAGGATAAGGATGGAAAGATTCAGGAATTTTGAATGACAAGAGAAATTGAGAGCTTGGTCAAAATGAAAAAGGAGGCATATGTAATTCAGTTTGGAAAACTGAAGACAAACAGAGCCTTGAAGAACATAAAGACAGCAGTAAAGAACTCAATCAAGGAATTAGAAGGCCTAAAAAAGGCCATGAGATATCTTTGGCAAACAGGATTCAAGAAAATCCAAGGTGTTTTATACATGCATAAGGAACAAAAGAATAGCCAGGGAAAGGGTAGGTCCATATAAAACAAAGGAGGGAATTTAAAACTGTTGCTTTTAACCAAGCACTTGTGAACTGAAATGGAATTATTGATAAAGATGCTGGATTTTCTTGATGGTAATTTAATTGCAGCATTATAGAGGATCAGAAAGCAATGCAGAAAGTGGAAGAGAATAGTAAAGAGTACTTTGGATGAAATGACAGCAGGGGCAATGCTTGTGTCGACATCATCAGAAACAGAAGCATGCAGAGTAAATCCACATTAAATCCACACTTAGCAAGAAAGCCTAGTGTCCAATCAGTAAGTGAAAATGAGACATTAAAAATTGAAATCTAATTGTACTCAAAGATCTGAACAGAAGTATGAAATAAACGTTTAAAAGCAAAAGCTGGAGGTGTTAATTAATTAAAATATGGCTTTTATAAACAAGTAAGATGACATACTTTGAACGTTAAGGACACCAAGGAAAATGTGTGATTCACTTGAAATAACAGACAGAGCCTGGAGTAAAATTTAAGATTGCAAACAGCTACAAATATTCACAATTAAGTAGACAGGAAAGTGAAGAAACATTTTACACAGAAAGAATGCTGCTTCTATTAAGTTGCCCATAGTGTTCAGGGATCTGTAGATTAGATGTGTTAGCCTTGGAAAATGCAGGGTTACAGAGAAAGGGTAGGGGGATGGGTCTGGGTGGGATACTCTTTGGAGGGTTGGTGTGAACTTGTTGGACCGAAAGGCCTGTTTCCGCACTGTAGGGATTCTATGATTCTATGATTCTACCCAAACTCTCATTATAACTCAAATCCTTCATTCCAGGCAACATCTTGGTAAATCTTTTCTAAACCCACTCCAGCTTAGTATTATCCTTCCTATAACAGGGCCACCAAAACTGAACATAGTGCTCCAGAAGAGGCCTCACCAACGTTCTGTACAACTGCAACATAACGTCTCAACTCCTATACTCAAAGATCTGAGCAATGAAGGCAACTGTGCTTAAACATCTTCTTAACCATCCTGTCTACATATGACAAAAACTTAGTGTTGCACCTTTTATGGACGTTAACAGTACCTAAAATTAGACTATGGAACACTCAAATATGAACTGAGGAATTATATCTCAAAATCACAAGAGAAATAAAAATGAAATTGACTATTCAGCACTGTAAGTGAATGAATAAGATTGACCATATAATTTTTTGAACTTTGTTTCTGCCTCAATTCTCCAACAGCAGCAAAAGGACCAATATGAATTGTTTGACATGTTAAATGCATGACAGAAAGACATGTCTAAGCATTAGAGGATTTAGAAGATCCTGTTGAAGACATAGTCAGAAAGTCGATTTTGAGCAGATCTTTCAAAGAATGAAAGAAATGGTAAGAAGAGCTTCAGGAAAAATGCTTCAGAGCTATCAGCAGAAGAGTTGGAAAAATCTACTGCATGGAGTGATGGTGGGAATTTGGTGAGATTGTGAATTCAGCACAGAGGGGAAAGAGTTGCTAAGTACTTTAAGTAAAAAAGCAACAGTAAATAAGAAAATAAATCAGTTAATTAGTTAGCAATTACATATATATAAATCAAAGTAATTAATTAGAACAAAAGATTAAATTAAAACTAATTGATATCAACAGCATACATTTATTTAGCACTTTTAATATAGGAAGATATCCCAATGTGCTTCACAGGAATGCTATAAATAAAATCTGACGCTAAATCTCGTAAGAAGGCATTGAGGCAGGTGACCGAAAGCTTGAACAAAGAGATGGTGTGAAAATGTATATCATTTGTGTAATTAATATGGCTTAATCTATCAAATTGTACTGTATACATGTTTAATGATTAAAGGTCATCATTTGTATATTATTGTGTTGCTTAGCAAATTTGAGATATGTTAAAAAAATTCTTAAAAGTTGTCAAGTCTTTTTAGTGCCAAATTCTGTGCTTTGGCTTTAAGAAAGAAAATGTGGAATGAACTGAAGTTATAACTAGATACTGTTGCACATTTGAGCTCTAGAAATTTTAGCTTAGCAGTAAACAGAAGCCAAAGCTACAGTCCTGGTTAGCCAAGAAGGTGGCCTCAAGACTGAAAGTTCCAAGGCCTCAGGTCAAAAGAAAGTTATAGATTACAGTTTGGAAGAAAAACCAAGGCTCTAAACCTTGAGCTGGGGGAATGGTCTGAAGACTAGATATTCCAAGAGCTGCCAATGAACACATACAAATTGATTTTGGATTGTGGGGAAGCTAGAAACACTCTTTGCATTGGTCAAGAGTTCCAAATATTTGGTTAGAATTTGTTAGGTGCGTTGATTCAAGTGCACTTAACTTGCAAAGCCACCTGCAGAAAGGGTACAAATATAAGAATGCATTTCTGAGGTCTTTGCCCTCATCAAGAATTCATACTTGTCACACAACATTAGCCGGGTGAGAGCTTTTGATGGGAGGGTGAGTTAGAAATAGGTTGCTTGCTAGGAATCTAACATTTATGTCGGACAATGCCAGTTAATGGGCACTTTTCCCAAGTTGAGGGGATTGCTGTAAGAACCCAGTAATAGGCTTAGGTAATGGCTAAAGCAGGGTTAAAGTAATTACCTTAACAGAGTGTGAAAAGGAATTGTACAACCATTTAGACTAAACAAGAAATTGTTCACTCAGCTAAAGTCTAGCCTTACCGCTCATAAACAAAGCTTTTCGCTGTATTTCAGTACACACGTGACAATAAAATCAATTAATCAATCTATCATTACTCAATGGGGTGAATGGCCAACGTCTGCTCCTGTATGTTATGGTCCTTTGGGAGAGAATTCCAGAGCATAGGGTACAGTCAACTGAAGGCTTGGCCACCAATGGCCAATGGATATACATTCCTCTAAGGTGTAAACACCCAAAGTAAAAGATTAATCAATCATGGTTAACAAAATAAGGTAAAGATTACATTAAAACAAAGGAAGTGGCTTATAAGGAGGCTTGAGAATGGGGAGCAATTCAGAACCCAGCAAGAAACTGATTTAAAAACACCAAGGAAGATATCAATTTAAGCTAGCCAAAGTATAAATGCAAATTGTAAAAGCTTCTCTAGGTATGCGATGAAGAAAAGATTAGTTAAAACAAATGTGAGTCAATTGTATACGGTAATAGGAGAATTGATAGTGGAGAACGGGAAAATGGTACAGAGGCTGGAGGAATGCTCCGCTGCTCTAGTTCCATTACTTCATAGGCCATAACATAAAATAAAAATAATTTTCCTCATTACCAAGATGACCAATTAAATTCCTTACTTATATAAGGTTTTAAACAACAAGATCCATCTACCAGGTTTCTTATTAAACAGTGATTGTTTTATAATCTGAACAAAACTCGTTCAATAAAGATGCAACAATTGGTTAACATACAGACAGTAAAGTAGAAATATAAATGCTTATCTCTCTAAACAGATTCAATACACACAAGTAACACCTGTGCTCCCCCACCATGCACAAACTCGGGGCAAGAGAAAGAAAAAATCAATTTCTATGCAGTGATTGGCTGACTGATTGTTTTTAGAAAAACAAACACTATGGTTAATGGGTTATTCTAGAAATCAAAAGAATAAAGTCTAGAATATTCTGCAATCTGTTGCTCTGATGTTCAGGCTCAAGTCACTAATGCATGCTTTTCCCTTAAATCCTACAGACACAGCTTATTCAGGATGTACAATCTTAAGATGGTTCTTCAATCACTCTTTCAAAAGAACAAATAGGTTCCACCCTGAATTCAACAAAAGAATATTCCTTTCAGAAATGAGAGTGATCAACTTATTCTCAGCAGGCTTTCTTCCACATGAAGCAGACAAAACAAGGGTCTCTCCAAGCCATGCATTCTGAAGAAGGGTCTAGGCCGGAAACATCAGCTTTCCTGCTCCTCTGATGTTGCTCGGCCTGCTGTGTTCATCCAGCTCTACAACTTGTTATCTCTCCAAGCCATGCCCTATTCAAACCAGCTCCAGCAGGGTCAACAGCAAGGCAACCAGTGTAACCAGTCATGTAATTTACAGGAAGTCTTGTGAAAGATATATTGCCAATGCCCATAGTGAGCTTCCAATGTGCTACTTTAAAGAAACCATTCCAGGTATTTCCACAAAACTTGAAATAAAGCAATTTCCTTCTAAATGTAAGTCCTCCAAGCAACAACTATAGAGCATCTTTGTAACAATGTCCTGAGATATTAACAAAGTTTAGTAGTTTTCTGGATTCTAAGGAGTCTCTCTTTTCAATCCTGTCCCATCTCACGAGGATGATTCTTTTATTTTTCTCACTTCTACCTAGCTACTGGATCTCTGTAAAACCTAAGGAAGCATGGCTTCCCTCCAATTCAGGACAAAGGAGCAGTGCTTCAAAAGTTTGTGATTTCAAATAAATCTGTTGGATTATAACCTGGTGTCATGTGAATTCTTACTTAAACTGTCTTGACCATGTTAAATTAAAGAAATGCACAGGCAAATGCACAGGCTTTGTAGTGCTTATTAAATTTGCCATTCCTAGAGAGAAGTACTACAATTTACTTACCCCTGTGGCGTTTTCTAAGGTGCAATTTCAATACTAATGTTGATATTCATCCACACTAGTACATATCAATTTCTAAATTAGCAACCTTTGCACATCAAGTTAAATTTCCCTCACAATGATGTTTTGCACTTGGATTCTTCCCTGTAATCAGTGAATAAAATTATGGCAGCAGGTACAACTAAATGAACATAAAGAAAAGGTATAAAAACAGAAATTGCTAGAAAACCTTAATAGATCTGGAAGCATCTGTAGAGAGAAAGCAGAGTTAATTGTCAAGTCCAGTGACTCTTCTGAAAAAGACCTGCTGAGTTTTCCCAGCAATTTTTGTTTTTGTTTCTGATTTCCTACATCATAATTCTTAGGGTGTTTTTTTTTTTAATGAAATGGTATTGCACCAACAAGAATACTTAATGTTCTCTATTATTTCTTAAATCTAAAAATGTTCAACGTTTTGACTTTCTCTTGCATTTAATTATCTCCTGCAAAAATGAGAAAATGCGACAACTTCTGGCTCAAATCTATGTAGCAGGGCTCAAAGGTTCTGCTAACCCAATGCAGTGATCCATTTCTTTCATGATTTTAAAATTCTGAGCAGTCAAAGATATACACAGCATAATGTTGTCCAGGCAACCCTACTGGAATAGAGGCAAAGGAAAAAAAGACAGATTTCCTTTTAATGGCAGTAGCTGCCATGTACTGCTCAGTTTAAAGTTTTCGAGAAGATTTGTAGCTCGGGTTGTGGATGAGGTTGTAAACATGCTCATTGAGCCAGTGGGTTTTGATGCAAACATTTCATCACCCTGCCAGGTAACATCATCAGCGTGCCTCCGGTGAAGCTTTGGTGTTCTGTCCTATTTGTTATTTATATGCCTTGGTTTGCTGGGGTGGTTGGTATTACTTCCTGGTTCTGTTTCTCAGTGGTTTGTATATCGGGTCCACTTCAATGTGTTTGTTGATGGAGTTCCAGTTGGAATACCAGGCCTCCAGGAATTTCCTGGCATGTCTCTGTTTGGCTTGTACTATTATGGATGTGCTGCCCTAGTCGAATTCATGTTCCTCGTTGTCCGTGTGTATTGAGACCAGTGTCTCTTGGTGGCTAGTTGGAGTTTGTGTATCCATGTTGTCAGTTTCCTTCTGGTTTGGACTATGTAGTGTTTTTCACAGTCCTTGCGTGGTATTTTGTATATTACACCCATTTTGCTGGCTTTGGTATGGGATCCTTCTCGAAAACTTTAAACACCTACAAGTGTGATACCCTCAAACTTGGCCCGCAGATGGGAAACGAATGCCATCCGACTGAGCGCAACCCACAAACAACTATACTTCCTACACGAATGCCTCAGAAAGCAGGTAGTACCACAAAGCTTAAGGTATAAACCACCTGTCAACAATCCATAGGCAAGGAGGACAGCTGAACAGAACGGCTGCAGAATGATAAGGGTTATGGTCAATGACCCCCACAACTGCCTCCACAAGTACAAACGGGAAGTTGCGTGCCAATAAACTCTGTACTCCAATACAACCAACCAGGAATGGACATCTACACTGAAACAAGCCATCAGCATACAATAACTAAAGACCAGAAAAAAGAAAAGAACAGCCCTTGAAGAAAAACTGTCCAAAATCACCCACATCAATGACATGGACAACACAGATTCATCAATTAAAAACATCTTGGACTGAACACTTGCAGACACTGAGAAGACCATCCTAGTACGCGGACTGAATTATAACTACAGAGACACCAAAAAGACTGACTTCCTGGCTGCACTGGAATTGACACTGAAGAGTAACGAATTCACAGATGAAGTACAACAGACCATCAGACAGACAATAGTCCCAACCCTAAGCAAAAAAGGAAAGTGGAACACATTCAACGCAGAAGAGAAAAAAGCCCTGGAAAGACTCAAGAAAGACAGGAACATTGTAATCTCACCAGCGGACAAAGGACGCATGACAGTAATCCTCAATACAGCCCAATACATCGAGAAAGCTAACACACTACTGGCAGATACCAACAGCTACCAACAGATGACGATAGACCCAACACCACCGTTAGGGAACCGGATTATAACGACTTTGAAGAAATTACACAACTCAGGAGACATCAGCAAGACAGACTACCAAATGAAGCCAGTGGGATCTAACACACCCCAATTCTACAGACTCCCCAAGGTACACGAACTGGGGGTCCCCCTCAGACCTATTATCTCACTACCAGGCACACCAACATATAGACTTGCCAAAGAACTATAACAGAAATTGAAATACTTAATGGACAACACTACCCACTCCATCCACTCCTCCCAAGAATTCCTCAACATCATCAAGGACACTAGGAGAGGAGAGGATGAGATGATGATATCTTTTGACGTAACAGCACTAATAACGTCCATAAACATCGACCTAGCCAAAGAAACAATTGCCACACTGCTGGACAAATCAAGTAAGCAGACAACCCAGGACACCAACAACATCAAATAAGGACACCACCGTGAAACTACTAGATCTGTGCCTCACAACACTTCATCTTCAACGACAACATATAGAAATAAATCAACAGAACACTAATGGGATCCCCAGTATCAGGACTGATTGCAGAAGCAGTAATGCAAAGGTTAAAACAGACAGCGCTCCCCAAACTTTAGGTCCAATATGTAGACGGCACCTTCGTGATTATTAAATGCACAAAACTAGAAGAAACCCACCAACACGTAAACAACATCCTTAACAGGATAAAATTCACAAAAGAAGACTACCCTTTCTGTACATAATGATAGAACATAAAAACAACGGGGAATTTCAGACTAGCGTGTACAGAAAGACCATGCATATGGACCAGAGACTCAATTACACTAGCAACCACCCCAAAGCCCACAAATGGATCTGCATCAGGAAACTATTTAAACCACATAACACATTACAGCAACCCGGAACAACGCAAAGCAGAACAGGAACATTTATACGGAGTCTGCAAAAGGAATGGAAACCTGAAAAGCACAATCCACCATTACCCCCAAGACAGACCCTAACAGAAGACACAACACGACCAGACTCACTAATCACCCTACCATACGTCAAGGACACTTCAGAGATGACCACAAGACTACCCAGACCCCTAGGTATCAAAGTAATCCACTAATCGGCAACCACCCTATGAAAGCTACTGACTAACATAAAGGATCCCATACCAAAACCAGCAAAACTGGGGGCAATATACAAAATACCATGCAACAGCTGTGAAAAACACTACATAGGCCAAACCAGAAGAAAACTGACAATACGGATACGCAAACATGAGGACCAATTCTCACTTATCTCACTACAGACGATGACAAGGGACATGAATTTGACTGGGACAACACATCCATAATCTCACAAGCCAAACAGAGACACACCAGGGAATTCCTGGAGGCCTGGTACTCCAACCGGACCTCTATCAACAAACACATTGAATTAGACCCTGTGTACAAACCACTGAGAAACAGAACTGGAAATAATACCAATCACCCCAGCAAACTGAGGCATATAAATAATAAGTGGGACAGAACACCAACACTTCACCAGAGGCACCCTGACAATGTTACCTAGCACGGTGATGAAATATTCACATCCAAATCCACCGGCTTGGTGAGCAACTCTACAACTTCGTACTGCTAAATGTTTGAAAGTCTGATCTTCTAACGAATGTTAGTGAATGGATCAGTGATCTATTGCATGGATGAGTGGGTGAGTCGGTAGATGGATGAAGTGGGAAGGTAATTGGGTAAGTGCATTGGTAAATATTTGGGTGGATGATTGGGCAAGTGGGCAAAGTTAATAGGTGAGTAAACAAATAGATGGGTGAGTGGGAGGAAGGTGGATGAGCTGGGTATGTAAGTGAGTGGGTGAGGTCAGTAAATGGGTGGATGGATAGCTGGACAGGTGAGTGAGTGAATGGATAGGTGGCAGAGTAAGTAGATGGGTGAGTGGGTAAGGTTGGTAGGTGGGTGAGCTGGATAGGTGTTTAAATGAACTGCTGGTCAGATGGACTGATCTGATTGGGAGTGTGAGGGGTGTTCCAGCGGCAGACGGGTACTGTCTGGGGTTTACTGGGATGGGGTAGGGTGTGTTTCAGTTAGGTAGTTGGGAGAAAGTCATGTCAGATCAGAGGGCTAGTCAGGTTGGGCCAGGCCAAATTGAGGGGTTGGGGAGTCAGTCAGGGTGATAGTCAGATCAGGCAGTCATTGGAGTAGTAAGAGGGTGGGAGTCAGCTATAGAGTTACCCAGGAGTTAGAGTAGGTTTTAAGATGTCTAACATTTCCTGAGGGTCCCAGGAAACATGGGAGATACTCCTCAGAAGTTTAAATTCCGTGGGCAATTCCCATACAGGTCCATGTAGCAGCATTTCCTCAAGATCCTGAAGTGCATCTTCATTCATATGTCCAATCTCTGATGATCCAGAGACTGGAAGATTTGAGCCATTGTGTTAACATTAAAGACAGTTAAAAAGTTTCATTAATGGCTTCTGTTTAACTATGGAATTCAAAGCCCTTGGCTCTCATTACTACAACATTGTCTTATTCATAATACTACACAGCAAAGACATTTAAACATTTTTTAATATACCTACACTTCTAAATTATTTATCAAGTCAAGAAAATTAATGCATTTTGGTATAACAAATATCTCAGTTTTATGTCAATTTTCTCTGTAGATTCAATAACCTCAAGACTGCAAACCATTAAATTCATATGTGGATTTGCTTACATCCAGTTTTCCATGTCTGACACAAAGCTTCACTTGGTAGGATCATAAATTGGATAATCAGGCATCGAGGTCAGTGGGTCCAATTTGTGCTGCTTCTGGGT